GTGTGTGTGTGTGTGTGTGTGTGTGTGTGTGTCGGCAGCTCTGGTGACGAGGGAGCGCTTGTTATTCACACCTGTTCGTGTCACTACAGTTGTGTTCAGGCAGGAACTCTAGTAAATGTCCAGGAAAACATTGTCTGAACGTGAAGCAGCAGATCGTGCGACTCGAACATGTGGCGACATTCAGGCGAGGGGGTGGAGCCTGCACAGCAGCAGGAGGCGGGACATGAGTGGAACACGTGTCCTCACATCGAGAACATTTCAGGAAAATGTCCGGACCTCGGTTCACGTCTGAAAACAGCTCATGAAAAAGATACAGGAGACGCCTCCAAGAAGCTAAGCTAACAAAACTGCAGATGAGGTTCCATCCAAAAATAGAAGCTGAACGTCTCCACTGATGCATTAGTACTCATAAATAGTAAAGTACTTCAAGTACAGTACATGAAATTGAAACTGTCAATTAAATGATGTAAATTAAAAACGACCACATCCGTCCCTGAACGCAGCAGCAGAGTACACACAGGAAATACTCCAGTAAAAAACAGTGACTCAATATTTGTACTAAAGTCCAGTACTTGAGTAAAGTCCTGAGGAGGAGAGTCGTGGTTCAGCGTGACAGAGTCAAACAGCTGCTGAGCTTCAGGCCTTTAACTTGACGCTCGGCCATAAAGTCTGATTTTACTGCTGCGCGAACCGAACCTGGCGACACGAGGTCTGAGATTCACGGAGCTTCACCAACACGTCAGCGCTGAACTACAAACCTGTTTACACCTCAGGATTAAAAACTGTCTCCACAGCCAATCAGAGTGAACCGACGAGCAACAAGACACCAAAACAGAAAATTAACAATAAAAGACGGATTCCAACGCAGCACGTTCACTTCTCCATTTGATTCAACCGCAAAGAAGCTAAAGTTAAAACAGGAGACGCAGAACAAGCTGCTGATGGAAGAAGGAAATCCACCACAGACCTGAGCTTCTCATTATGTTTCGGCCTCCGAGGTCTAAACGCCCCGAGGACACAGCTACAGTCAGTCAACAACAGTTAGCAACTTCCTGTCCCCATCGAAACAAACTAAAGTTCCCTCTCTCTTTCTGATGCTCTCACGCTAACCGGCCGATTCCCAAGATGAATGTTCTCAAACTCTCTCCGTGTAAAAAAAAATCATTAACTTTTCTCTTCTGGGAAAAAAAAAAATCATAAAAGATTTCTGCGGGACACTAAAATGTGTTTCTTGTATATTTGTGTTAAATAAAATCATTTACATTATTTTAAGCGGATGTGGTTTTACATTTACAGGTGATTGAAAACTGAAATAATTCATTATGTCATTTTAAATGTCATGTAAATAATTACATGTCAGAGGCAGCAGGTGTCTGACACATGTAACACGGTCCGACACACACGTACACACACACGTGTTTCCTTCAGTAACTGCATCTGTAGTGAAATTACACCATCCTAAACAGTCCAGAAATAGTGACGGCTATCAGAGTCACATCACGTGTTCCTGCAGCTCCTCTGCTTTCACATGACCTTACACACACACACACACACACACACACACACACACACATTAAGAAAGTGAGACTCCTCAGAAAGCTCATTGTACATGAACATAAATAAAGATGGACGACACGTCTCCACTTCTCACCTTTGCACAAAAATGAAGCTAAAGATACAAAAGCTGCCAACTTGTGATTTGACCGTCATCTGGACTCAGAGTCAGCAGAAGCGCCGTCGTGACAGAGGGGAGGAGCCGTGGCATCAAGGTCTCGCTCGTACAGATACTGCACCAATCATGAGACAGTCTCAGCCGGTTCTTTTATCATCAAACGTTGCAGGATAGTTCTGAGAATTCTTTTGACTTTGGGGCAGAACGTCTGAATTCTATCAGGAAATGAATTCAAAGATTTAGTTTGGATGTGGATCCGAAGGAGTTTGTCTCGTGATCCAGCAGAGGGCGCTCACTACGAGCATGACCCTTGACCTAAAGTAAAGAAAGTGATGTGGCGTTATTTCACAACGGAAATGGAGAAAGTTATAAAACAAAGCCGCCTTGTTCGAGTTCTAAACTGTACACGACATTAGTTAGTTTTCCACCCGAGCAGCGGAGGAGGCGCCACAGACGAGCGGAGCAGCGTCGGGTGTTTTATGGAGGTTCGAACAAACTTGATTGTTTGAAGAGTGAAGCGGTCCTGAGGCGTCCACTCGTCATGAACAGGAATTTATTTGACTTGTGTGATTTCTCTCTGCGAACTGAAGTGTGGTCGTTTTCCCAACTCGTCTCCTCTGACGACGGCTTCGTTAATCAACTCGACAGTTAACCTGATGTGAGATGAACCAGCGATGAACCTGAGATCAATGTGTGTATTTTAAAACACGTTCTGCTCTCGGATAAAAGTCTCAGTGTGAAACTGAACAAACATCAGATCAGTTTAAAAGAAAAATATCTCAATTCAAATGAATTCAATCTGCTGCCAAAACTCCTGGAGACACAGAGAACATCTTCCTGGAAACTGAACCACGGTGAATCAATGGGCTGCAGGAGAGTGTGTGTGTGTGTGTGTGTGTGTGTGTGTGTGTGTGTGTGTGTGTGTGTGTGTGTGTGTGAGAATGCTTGTCATATGCACATGAAGCAATTTCTTCTTTTAGCAGCCGAGGACTTGGTGATCTCTTCACCCCGGACAAACCCCGGTCGGATTACCACAGAGTGTGTGTGTCACATTGTGAATGAGAGCGCTGTGTGTTCCTCTATGAATATTTCCAGTGTTGACCTGAGGTTTAGCTGAGCAGCTGTAGATTAGTGCTGCCCCCAACTGGTGAGTGTATTGTACCGACAGCCACACAATGAAACGTGCACAAACGCACGCACACACGCACAGAATGGGCCCATAGACGCATTTCTTGTTCGATGGCGTCAAGTAGCTGATAAAGACACTTTTCAGTCTAAATCTTCTTAAAAATGTTGTTCTCAAGAAATTAAAGTGAAATTGTTTCATTTCTGTTTCTACTCGATGTTTCACTTCAGCATCTTGTCGCTCGTTTAATTCCCGTGTACGCGTCACCTCTTGCAGCTCTTCGTTCTCCTCCATGTATTTCTTGGCGGCGGTGCTGGCGCCCTCCGCCTGCTTCTTGAAGGCTTCGTTGGAGGCCATGAGAGAGGCCTGCTGGGAGAGAAGAGTGGCCAGACGACGCAGTAACCTGCAACACACAGCAGACACACAACTGGTCGGTGCGTTCACTGACACCGAAAGGGTTCAACTTAATTATTCACGTCTGCACCTGCATCCCAGATATTTATACACAGTCAATAATTCTCTTTATAAACTGAACCAGTAGCACTTTGACACACGTGTGACAAAAACCACCTGAGGCAGAAACTGAAGCTGTTTCACATGTACACACACCTGAGCTCTGTGCGTGTGTGTGTGTGTGTGTGTGTGTGTGTGTGTGTGTGTGTGTGTATCAGACCATCTGTTGTACAGGCTTCAGCACATCACACACAACCTAATATAGCCATTCACCACTGTATAGTAACCATGTGACACACACGTGCAGTTACCTCTGACATTTGCCTGCTGAACGTATGTGGCGCTGACAGACAGTGATGTAATGGTGGTTCAGGTCGGGGGAGGGCAGAGCTGCGGGAGGGGGGGGGGGGCAGATAAGGGACCTCAGTGGATCTGATTAAAGAAGCTGGGTTTGATTTAACCGCACCACCTTCAGAGGCAGCTGAGAAAAATCAACCACATGGTAAAAGTATCGGTGAAGACGGAAACGTCGCCTGAGGTCAGTGAAGAAGACGAGTCTGGAGGATGAAGGACGCAGTGCTGATAAGGTGCGGCGGTCGTACAGAGACACGTTGGGTGCGATCCAATCAGCAGCGACGTGTTAATCAACCCCGCTGTGACACAACGGATTCTGAAGTCCGGTGCCTGGCGTTCACATCGTGTAACAGGTGAAGCGGGAGCAGACGCACTGAAAACAGTTTGACCAATCACAGCGGACCGAGCTGAGAGCAGACAGGGAGGGGGAGGGGCTTTAAAGAGACAGGAGCTAAAACCAAGTGTTGGAGACAGAGGCTGAGAAGAGGAGCTGCAGCAGTGGACGGTCTGAGGGAAATGATTTCCTGAACATTAGAGCATGAAAACATTTTCGATGAATAACACTAATTATAATTAACAACCTGAATGTGAGCAGAATGTGTTTCCTTCAGTTTATTGGCTTAAATGTGAAATCATCCTTCTGTGAGCTCGATGCTCAGAGGAACACATCATCAGACTGTCGGTCTGAAGCTTCCTCCAAACTTCACACGTCTGTGGATCAGTTTCCAGAAACAACCTTTAGTTGTGTCGTTTATTAAAAAAAAAAAAAAAGAAGTCTGTGTGAGATTACGCTCTCAGATCCAAATATGGACGTCAGTTAGCGATCCAATCAGCGGCCAGCACTTCAGACTTTCCACGAACCCGTGCTACATATTTCCTCCGTGGCCGAGGCTGGAAATTCCTGAGTCACAGTTGGGCTCGGTCTAAACGCTGGAGTGCTGCAGCAGCAGCTGCTTCATCACATGCTACTGTCGTGAGTCAGAGCAGCTGCTGCTGCTGCACGACGCCCGGAGACGAGCGGCGAGCGTGTCGGTCCGTCGGCCGCTGACGCCGCCTGCCGGCAGCAAACCGTCCCCCGGGTCGGAGTTCTCAGGTCTGCATCAGTCACGAGTCAAGGAGCCAATTTATTAAAGATCGTCTCTTGAGATGAAATGATATAAAATCTTGTTGTTGTTGTGACGGTACGTTTATCTTCTGATACAAAGCGTCTTATATATTATTATATTACGATCAGTTACGTAATCCCTCGATCATGAGGAAAAGATGAATCACACACTTGCACATCTTGACTCATGTTTCTGAACATGTCTTAAAGTCACGTAGATGAACATTAATACTGAAGAGGTCAAAGGTCATTGGCTGATAGAGACGTCTTCTGTTAGTTCAGTAAAGTTCTGCTGGAACAAAATGAATCAAAGCAGAACCACTGGTGCTTTTATTCTGAAACAAGAGTTTGTGTCATTTATTTCAGAGCGATGCTTCTGGTTCTACTTTCTCAGACGTGAGGTTTCCCTCCAGGTGCAGTTCTTCTAATCACAACTTTTACTTTATCACAACACATTTCAACCAATCCGAGTTTTCTGGCGTCGATCTCGACTCGAACAGCTCCGACTCTAAACTTCAGGTAAAACTGAGATAGTGACCTCAGGAGGTTCACCCGACAACAGGGTCCAATAACAACACGGCAGGTCACACAACTCGGCAGCCAATCAAAGAGAGATTCACACTTTGGAGGCCAATCAGGACGAGGCTGGAGGATTTACAGTAACTACCACTGGACACACACGTACACACACACACACACACACACGTACACACACGTACACACACACACACACACACACGTACACACACGTAAACACACACACACACACACACGTACACACACGTACACACACACACACACACACACGTACACACACGCAGACTGATCTAAATGCAGAGGAATTTTACAGTAGGATGGAAGGAATGAGCAGCTGTGTGTGTGTGTGTGTGTGTGTGTGTGTGTGTGAGATAGTGTATTTGTGTTTCATTCAGAGAGAGAGAGTGTGTGTGTGTGTGTGTGTGTGTGTGTGTGTGTGTGTGTGTGTGTGTGTGTGTGTGTGTGTGTGTGTCTCTTACAGGCAGAGCAGCAGGGCGAAGCCGGCGATGTACTCGTTCCTCTGAGCTCTGAACAGTTTCATGTGAATGTGTTCGATGGCGGTCGGGTTGTTGGTCAGGTCCACCTTCTCCGTCACACTGTACTTCCTGACCTCACGAAATGCATCTACACACACACACACACACAATATATCAATCCCACAATGCAACAGATGAAGGAAACAATGATCAGAAAGTAAACCTTTGATTTAATCAGCTGTTTTCACAGATTTATCTACTGTGACACGAGGAGACAATTCATTTGACCATTTTATCTGAGCTGTTGATTTGATTTATGTCCTTTTTATTGACTGTTTACTTTGAAATATATAAATTATAATTATTGTGTTCATGCTAATTTTTTTATTGATAATAATGTGACTTGTTTTGATTAACCACAGAAAATGACCTGAGCACTGATGACGTACCTGATGATTCTCTGTTATCAATAGAATCCAACCGATGCTGATATTAAAGAGTGGAACAACTCAAGTTTGGTTGTTTTCAGTCATTGAGCAAACTACACGTACCGATGAGCAGGAAGATGAGGATGGCGATGGCCACCATGAACGACGTGTTTCCATACAGAGCGATGGTTTGTACGATACGAGACTTGAAGACCTTATTCCACCTGCAGGATCAGAAACACCAGAGCAGCGAAGAACATAATGAAACACAGGAAAAAGAAATAGACACAATAAAGAACCTGGAGCTCTGCCTCCATCTAGTGGACCAACAGAGAAACACACTGCTGAACTGACGGCATAATAAAAGAACATGATGTGAACTTGATGGAGCCGCAGCGACTAAATAATAACTAGATAATTAGTTGATTGATAGTTTTCATTGTTGTTCTGTTAAAGCTTCTCAGGCGTTACGTTCCCTCGTCTTTGTCACATCTGATTTTAAATAAACAGATGAATCAGTGCTGAAAATAATCATCAGGTAAATTACGTGTTAAAAGCTTCTGTAATCGACCATCAGCTGTGACATCACACCTGCCGTCGGTCCTGTGACCAGCGGACACGAGTTGTTTGCTCGTAGGTCTGATTTTCTGAGCTTCAGTCTGAAAACCTGCACACGTCGGCTGTTCAGATCTGATTCTGAGTCAGAGAATTGATCCTGATGGAAACAGAGGTCAGTTGATCAGTGAAGCGTTGAGTCAATCAGATCTAAGTCCGGAGTTCTGATGAGCTTAATGTGATCACACTCACAGAGCTGCTCAGTGTTCACAGAGCAAATCAATCAGCCTCTTCAGCTGAGACACATTCTACACACACGTCTCTCTATAGTCGTGAGGACACTCACTGACATTATGCATTCCCCAGCCCCTTAAACCACAACTACATGACTAACCCAAACTTAAACCTGAACTAATTCTAACCCTAAAACCTTGTTTTAGTCTTTACCCTCAAAAAGGCCTCTCTCTTTCTCACTCAGAGAGAGAGAGAGAGAGAGAGAGAGAGAGAGAGAGAGAGAGAGAGAGAGAGAGAGAGAGGCTTCACAGCTGTGGTTTAAACACGAATAATTCTGAGATAACATCAGTTCTCACATTAATTCAATTTAAAATAATAGATCACTGACCTCTTGGGTGAGATGAAGGGGATACAGAGCAGCAGAACGAAGAAGACCTCTACGTAGAGGAAGGTGGCCACCGCCGTCCACTGAAGACTCATCCTGAGGAAACAGGAAAAACAAGAGAAGACGTGAGACGTCCGATAAATTAGTGGAAACTGATCTTTGCTTGCAGCCTGAGGTTCAACCGAGAGACCGCTGCTAATCAGTCCAACTCTTTATCTGTGCTGCCCTCTAGTGGAGGTCCTGTTTGACATCGATGCAACACAAAGGACATGAGAGGATGTGGACAGTGAGGACAACACTGTGTCAAACGTTTCTCTTCAAACGTAAAAGCAGAATAAACGAGGCTGTGACATCAACAGACTAACGAGACTCCGGAGCGTTCACTGGTCTTGTGAAGAGTTTAACTCCTGATTCTTCAAACTGTGTCTCTGCTCCGTTAACTGTGCGGCTGAGAGTCGAGAGGAGAGAATGTGAGTTTGTCACGCAGCCTCGTGTGGAGAACAAATGTGATGTGTTAGATTAAAGAGTGTGAGACGGAGACGTGTTTGTGAGGGAGCAGCAGAATCTGCTGAGCCGAACGGTGACGCTGCAGAAAGTGTCTCAGCAGAACGGAGACCACGTGTTTATCTGGATCAGAGTTCGAGGATGTGGAATCCATCTCACACTTGTTGAGTAATCTTGATAAAACAAACACACAAACACACAAACACAAAAACACAAAAACACACAAACACAGAAACACTGAGCAGAGGATTTTTATTAGTATCACTTTCATTAGATCTGTGAATTATCTGCTAATCAACATGTTTAACCTTTGTGTTTATGTATAAAATGATATAAACACAAACTATGTGAATATCTATTGTGTTTAATTTGTTATAATGAATATCTAACTTCATCTGTTTTAAGGGGCGTGGCAGCTCAGTTTCTCAGACAAACACGTTTATCACTTTTTCTTTTTTAATTGATCTTATTCATCTAATTCCTGGAAGCTACAGACACACCGACACGAAACCTTCCTCTCCACAACAAACATTTCAAATCTGCCGATGAACAAACATCGGACAGGAGCTCGTGATTAGAACACGGTGGACTGGGGCCCCGTCTATTTGCTGGAACGTCGCACTACGCTCGCGTTAACTCTCGCTGCTGCTGCTGCTCGCTTGGCTACGTCTATGTGCTGGAGCCAGGTGGGTTCGTCCTCGGGTGTTTAACGAACATCACCTGAGAATCATCGACACCTGAGCGGACACATGACGCCGCCATGCTAGCGGCAGTTAGCGGGTGTTAGCATCAGTTAGCGGGTGTCAGCATGAGCGGGCTGCGGTGAAGTGAAGCCCCGGGTCGTGGGTCGACCGGGTCGGACTCACCTGAGGAACTCTGCGGACTCAGACTCGGAGAGAACCGGCGGAAGCTCCAACTCGCGCTGTGTCGGGTCAGCTAGCCTGTTAGCTTGTTAGCTTAGCGTCTGACTATAAACACGTCCGGCTTCCGGTGTTTACTGCCACCTCATCCCCACCCCGACACGTGATTGGACACGGCGAGGCGGGGCTGTGACGTAAGGGCCTCCACGTCACGGAATTGAAATAGCTTTATTGGCACGGACACGGACAGAGTTGATTTACAATAAATAAAGAGTTGGATTTGAAATAGGAAATAAATGAAATATCAAATGAAAAACGTTTTATCTGTGTGTGAAAAAACAATTCACACAAATAGTAATAATAATATTAAAAACAACGATAATCATCATCATCATCATAAACGGTGGATAATAGAACATTGATTCTAAATTCCGTTGTACAGCTGTGCAGTGACAATAAAGACATTCCATTCTATAATACAGATTCTATTATTAGAGATAAATATGATGTTAAACATGTGAAATCTATCATCCATCTTTACAGTTCCCTCAGATGACCAGCAGAGGGAGACACTGTCTAAGGGAAACTTGTTGGTGGGTCAGGGACGTCTCACTCTGACAGTTTTTCCATAAACCAAACCTGTTTTCTATCTGTGGCTCAGTTTCACCAAAGAAATCATTGATCATGTTTCCTCTGTGTGTGTGTGTGTGTGT